AAAGCTCAGGGTGAAAGAGAGCAACAGTACTGACCAGAGCTTAAAAAAAAAAAAAAAGAAAGAAAGAAAGAACAAAAATAAGAGCTGGGTCTCGAGGCCTGCCCTTCACCACAGCTGGCATGACACCACAAAGCCTTCAGCCATCTTCTCATCTCTGCAGCCAGCGTCCTCTCCAAAAGACTAGGTCTCTGGGAGCCCAAGAGGTTATAGACCTAAGTCATTCATCACCCCCAAAACGATACTTCCTAGAAATAGAAATGGATTCAGAAAGGATTTGGGCAAATCTGTGAATGACAGAGCAGCCACAAATAGCTACTCAGAGAAGCTGGGCGCCACCTGACCTTTACAATTGACGTCAAAGAAGATAGCTGTAGCCTCCTATGGTGGCATCTCAGGGACAGGGCTGGCAACCAGACACTAGGTCAGATGGACCCAACCCAGAATGGCAATGCACATGTTCTTATATGGCCTGGCGTAGAGCACCCGGAGCTGTGAACTAGAAGGCGAGTGAGTCCCTGGCCCTATCCATTTATAACTACGTGACCTTGCACAACATCACTTAATGGCTTCAAAGCTCATTTCCCTCATCTGTAAATTGGGGCTGATAATGACCCACAATCTCTTATCTAAAACCCTGGGGTGCTTCAGAAATCCAAATTGTTCATGTTTTAGATAGGAATTATGGGGCTGATAGTGTTTGCCCAGTTCCACAGGAGTCTAAGGAAGTGCTCTGTAATCAAACACATTAATATTTTTTGCAGCAAAACATATGAATATTCAACATACACAGGATAAATATAGCCTCCCATCAGTTCAGATCAGGTTTTGTCACTAAATGAGCTTGTTGCAAACTTACACAGAACCTATCAGCTTTCAGAGCTTTTCAGACTTCAGAATCACAAACACGGAATGACAAATCTGTATCCCTTTTGGGGAGGATGTGAGATTAAGAAAGATAAAGTCATTACAGATGCTCTGCAAAGGAGAAAGTGCTTCAACTGATAAAAGGCATAAGTAATATTATTGTCGTTGCTAACATGGTTCCACAGCATACTCATTTCCTGACAGCACTTGGTTTGACCTCAGAGATGCCTAATGCTGGCAGGGACCAAGAGTTCAGGGCAACTTCTAAACTCTCAAAAATGTCCAAAAATCAAGGTCAGTGGCTACTGGCCTTCTACATGGTCAACCACTGAAAACGGGACTGCTGGCCACCTGAGAGAGATAAAGGCAAAGGGCCAGGCAGAACTCAGACATCTCAACTACATGGCTCAGACTGGGTCCAGGGAGCTGGCCAGGACCATTCCTTGTGGTTCCTGAGCGTCCAGGCAAGAACCACAGGTCCTACTCTGTGTGTGCAGGACACACACTGCAGCTGTTCTAAGGGTCTGCCTGTAGAAGACCCAAAGCTCCTGGGAAACCAGACCCCACTCTGACCCTGCAGCACTCAATTCAGAACATATTATGACCAGGCTGTATGAGCCCAGGGAGACAGAGGGCTATAACTGAGGACTGTGTTCACACCGAAGTCGACCACAGGGTTGGCTCTCTGTAATCTTGTCACATGTGTATGTAACTGAGAACGAGAAGGTGCACCTGGCCCACTTGAGCAGGTCCCTAGAGCAGTAGATCCAGACAGGCTTTTGTGGAGAACTGCTCCAGCCTTTCAGAGAGAGAAAGGGAAAGAAGAGAGACTGAGCCTGAAGAGTCCAGTCTTCTAGAAACTTAACATGACTATCCCAACATCACCCTCCCTCCCTCAGTCATCTTCTATAATGTGGGCCTACGCAGGTAGGTACTGGGGTCCAGAGCTTGCTCCTCCACCTACCTGATCAGGTATTCTGACTGTTATGATTTCTTCTGGATCCTTTAAGTAAGTAATTCCCATTTGATTTACTCAAATAGTGTCTTTGACTGGTTTTTCCATCAATCCATAACACCTCTGACATTGCTTTCACATCTCAACATGCACTGTAGGGACCATGGTTTGACTAAGTTTCATCCCAACTACCTGTCATCCCTACAGGATTCTCTCTCTCGCCAGCTCGGAAACGAGTCACGAGAAACCTTTGATGGGATTCCGTAACTAACCCTCCTTCCTGCATTGCTTCCCAGTGCTCTCCCCTTCCTTCCTCTCCGTGCCCTTCTGCTCCCCAAGAGAGCAGCAGTACTGCAAGGCACTTAGCCTTTACCAACGCTCCAGCCTACGGGCTTAGAAATGAACCCTATAGCCTGTTATTTCACCATGTTCACCACTGTTATAGTATAACCAATTCCATAGTCTCCTGACATCAAAACCTCCAACTCTAGCCCTGGCTGGTGTAGCTCAGTGGATTGAGCGTGGGCCTGCGAGCCAGAGAGTTGCGGTTGGATTCCCAGTCAGGGCACATGCCTGGGTTGTCAGCCAGTTCCTAGCAGAGGACACACAAGAGGCAACCGTACACTGATATTTCTCTCCCTCTCTCCTTCCCTTCCCCTCTACAGATAAATAAAATTTTTAAAAAAAAGTTAATCTCTAAAAAAAAGAAACCTCCAACTCTGATGATTTTGTCTGTAGACCCTCAGAACTCTCCACCCAAGGCACTGCCCCAGGCTCTAGTTTCTTGGGCCGCGGCAGCTTACTTTCCACCCTCAGTCCAAAGCACATTCTCCAAATCAGCAGCCCACAGCATGATACCAAGGATTCCAGGACCACAAAGACAGAAACATTCTCTGCAAAGCCCAATGGCCAACGCAACTGCGGTGAAAGGCAGCTCTATGGCCACTACACACTAAGACTCAGAGCCAACGGGAGTTCTGCTGAGATGAAACCCAAACAAGATAAGGGACAGAAGGGTTAGTTCTTCGCTCTGTGCCAGTCACAGTTCCAGGGACTTCTATCAATAGGTATTATTTCATTACTTCGACACGCCACCATGCTGACGACCTCCGTTTTAAAAAGTGTAAAACAAGGCCCAGAAAGGTTACATAACTACCTCGAGCTCCAGTTTCACCACCCTGCTCTGTGGAGCACCACACGGCCAGGCCTCCCTCCACCTCTCCCCAGAGGACAGGAGGGTGATCGCTTTTGCAACCCTTTCAGGTAAAGAGAAGCAATCAGAACCTGAGGAGAGCCAGAAAAAATGTACTCTCCACTACAGCCCATTTCCCATCGTTCATAACTGTAATAATTCACATCCGGAGGAGATGATAAACCTACCTGCCCGACTTTGGGGAGGGGGTTTTTCCTCTTTAGGAAAGTCTGAGCAAAAACAAACACAACCTCATTCTATTTCTGAGCTGTACAAGCATCAAGACACACCTTAGTGGTGGTTGTTTTTCGCACCCACCAGAAAAAAATCGGCTACATTTAGCTCAGCAGCACTTTCCACAAGGTAAGTAATTCTCAGAGCCACCGATTAAGCAAGCACTGTCGGAGCAGGTTCCGGCTCAGCTTGGAGTAATCAGACAAATCTCCAGATGCCTCACCTCTGCCCCACACCCTCAGGTACGTCCCCTCCTATACGAATGAGAAATGGAGGAAAGGGGTAGACAGAGACAGGTGCAAAAGTGGAGAATCCCCCAAGATCAGCCAAGATGACATACCAGGAAATGTCATCACGATGATAACAGAAACTGGATTTCTCAACACTATTCATCAGACCTAAGGACTGGAGGGTAAAATGATGGGCATGTTGTTATGACGGATGCAGGTGAACACCAAACCCACTACTGATTCCCTTCATATTTACTCCACTCTAACGAGCAATTTCTAAAGCCCTCTGTTGTACAGGCGTGATCCTCTTCAGCAAAGTACAAGGGGTTACAGCCTGACTTTGAATCCAGCTCTGACTCCTACTTTCTCTGGGATCCTGGCAATGGTCTGAGTATCTCCCACATTTAAAAAAAAAAAAAAAAAAAAAAGGACATTGCCTATCTCAGGGGGTTGTTGTAACAAAAATGTGACTCCATGTAAAGCAAGTATTGAACTAGACATGCCAAAAGACAGCGTGTCAAACTCATTTTCACCGGGGGCCACATCAGCCTTAAGGTTGCCTTCAAAGGGCCAAATGTAATTTTAGGACTGTATAAATGTAACTACTCTTTAACTAGGGGCAAGGAGCTCACCACTGCCACGGGTAGATACAAGGTGCTGGGCTGGATAAAACAAGGTGGAGGGGCTGATTCAGCCCACGGGACTTGTGTTTGCTACCTGTGCCATAAGAGCTCAGTGGATGGTTATTTCACACAGAAGGAGACAGAGGCCAGAGGGAAGCCAATGCTGGCCTAAAGTGGCATTAATTCAATGTGAGCAGAGGTGGGAGAAGAATATGGCTCTGCAGGCTGCAAAACCGACTCTCAGGCCCATCCTTCCCCCTGAATTTAAATCAACTCCTTCTGAATGTGTTTGCAGGAAAAGAGTAAAAAGGGACAGGGGAAGCCACGTTCCTGGTGATGAATGTTCACCAGGAGTGATGTTTGTTCAGAACCTGCAGCTGCTCTTGCGGCCCAAGCAGCACCAGCCCCTCCCACCAGCCTAAGGTGCAGCAGGCCTGCCTTGGCAGGACCCCACTGATGGGAACCTGGGTACCTGAAACCTGGCAACATGGCCAAATCTAGGCTGTGGGAGACCTTCGTCCTCATTCCCACTTTCTCCCCTCCCTCCATCCACTTTATTAGTCACTTCAGACAAAGGAGAACAAACCCAACAGCACAACAAGCAAATGGGAGCCCAAAAGCAGAAAGAGGAAAGAGCCTAGTAAGAAGCTGGGCCCATGGGTTCCCCGATGCTTAGGAAAGATCCCAGCACCCTTACCACACTTAAAAACCATACCCCCAACTCCAGGACCTCTAGGTGGTATTTTAGAAGTGGTATTTTACAAATTAGGAGTGGTATTTTACAAATAGCAAGGAAGACAGGGAAGCCAGGCCCCAAGCCTCGGGAGAAGCCTGGTACAAAGGCAGGGTACCAGGGCCAGCAGTTGGGCCTGGATGTCAGGTGAGACCGGCGAGGGACCTACCTGTGTTGCTCCACAGCCTCGTTGTCAGGAAGCTCCACCCCACACACACTGCACTGCTCCCCGATGGTCCGGCTCTCCGACTTCATGCCCACAGCCAGCTCACCCAACTTGTTGAACAGCTCCCTCTGGATGAAGCCCTGTGGCAGCAGACCCCCATAGGTGCTGAAGTCCATGGAGACAGCCAGGGTGGGCTGCACGTGGAGGCCAGAGGACACTGAAGATGGCATGTTCAACACAGAGTCAGCCTTATGGTTGGGCAGCACCGAGTAGATGCCCAGATGTTTCTCAGCTGTAGGCGCCGGGTGTTCCAGTCGGCCGGGGGGACCCTGGCCAGCCTCGGCTGGGGGCGGCAGCTGCTCAGCACTCTCCTCACGCCCATAGTGCAGCTCCCTAGCACTAGTGATGACGCTGCTCCGAGTTGGGGTTCCGGGCCCCTCTTTGCCCCGTTCCTCTACCTTGTCCCCCATCCCACCTGAGATGCTAGACTCAGCTGTCCCAGGGCTATCCTGGCTGGGCACCTCATCCACCTGCATCATCTCTGTCTTCACCTCAGCCACCCCAGGGTGCCGCCCACCCCCAGTCAGAGTTGGCTCCTCGGGCCCTGCAGGTGGCTGAAGAGTTCCCTGCAGGAGAGACTGTCCTATGGTCATCAAACTGTCCACTGCAGCCTTGGTGGGACTCATGGCTGAAAGACCAAATGAGGTGGAGACTGACGGGCTCTGGTCCGCCATGGGCCCAGGGAGGCTGTGTGCAGCCACGCTGGCATAGCCACTCTCCTCACTGGAATGCTTCGAGATGAAGATGTTCTTCAGGTACCGAGGTTTGCGGTCCTCTTCTTCCTCTGCCCCACCCTCCGCCATGGTGGCCTCTGTATCATTGTCATCTGTGGCCTGGATAGTCTCCAGGATCTTCAGGCACTGCTCCTCCAGGTACTCGATCTCCAAGATCTCGGCTGCATACAGCAGGTCATCCAGGTCCTCCGCCTTGGCCTGCAGTGTGGCCGTGTATGCGTACTCCAGAATCTGCTGGAAAGTCTTTGGGGAGAGGAAGTCCAGAGTATAGTGCTGGCTGTTGCGGTGGAAGAGGATCTCAAACATCTTGCTGGTGCAGGCCAGCACAGTCCGGTGGGCATGGAACTCCTGGCTGTCCACCATGATGACCACATCGCACAGCGTCCCGGCCAGCCGCATCTGGTTGGCCTTGCACAGGAGCCCCGTGGGGTGGCTGGGGTTCTGCAGCTGGATCATGCCCATGTTCGTCAGATCCATGGTGCTCCCTGCAGCTTCGGCATGAGGCTCTCTTTCCTTCCGGGCTCTGCGTGGTGGGGCAGGCTGGGTTTCCCGGGCCAACGGAGAAGACTAGAGAGGAGAAAGGGGAAAGAGAAAAAGATGACAGAACGAAAGGTAGATTATTCAGTGTCCCTAAAAGCAAGAATTGAAGCAATGTAAGACAGCACCCTGCCCTCAGTCGGCCAGCAAGGGGATCCTGGAGATTTTAATGGAGGGAAGGGGGCTCCCTAGAAGTCTGGGAGTCTGCCTTTACACATGCACAAATGAGAGCAAAGAGAATTTTCTGCCACTACCTATTCCTAATCTACTGCTAGGTGAAGTAAAATGAGAATTAGCTGGGAGTCTTCTGAGTCCTGGCCTTTCTGTAAGTCTAAAAGGGGGGGGGGGGGGAAGGAATCCTGTAGAAGGACATGTTATGAGGAAGTACCCAGCACTGACTGAGAATTAGTAAAAATTGAACCCCTGCCTTTAGTCAATTTAAGCACTCAATTTCCCTCACAGCCCCTTGTGCAGCCACCTTCATCTTCAAAACAAAGTTGTCTAAACCCTACTTCACTGGGGTAGCCCCAGAAGTACGATCAAGCCTAGCTCGGCTAGCAGCCTGCTCTCCAGCCCACAGAGATCTATGGGCAAGGGCCCTCCTCCTCCAGGCCCAGCCTCTCACCACCAGCCAGTGTCATCCCGGCCCCTGTCTCCCCACTCTTCTCAGCACTGCAAAGGGCTGACAGACACTGACCCCCCTTTTAGACACTAACAGGAACACATACGCATCACCCACACATTAGCTTGGGTCACTTCCATCCACAGGTGCCTCAAAATTAGTGTATATGTGATGCAAAGTCTGAACTGTGAGTGTGCCTTCATGTGCTTACACACCAGCCAGAGAGGGAGAAACACAGTTAACATATGGGCGCACACTTACATAACACGCTGCACTTACCTCCTGCCCACCAGTGCCCAGTGGACAGAGGGATCTATAAAATGTAAAAGGACAGGTCACGGAGGGCCTAAGAAGAGAAATCATAAGAACTAGGCATCCCTGCAGCCAGGAGTGCACATGCTAAGAATATGACCTCCAAGTGTGCCCCACAGGCTCCCAGGAGTGGTCACGTCCTGTGACCAGGAGCAGCAACTGATGGCTGGATGTTGCTCCCCGGTGCTGGAAGTCATATTGGCACCACCGTCTATGGAGAGAGTTATAACCAGTATGAAGGAAAGATGGGGCTGGGAGACAAAGGCCTCTCCCAGAGCGCAGTTCAGGATCAATAACAAGGTGCTGGGACTCCTGAACCCTCTGAAGAGTGTTAGACCTCACAGGCCCAGTTCCCAACCAGCCTCTGTCTTGCTGTGGTCAATATCGCAGTGAAATGAAGTAGGAGCAAAGCTGAGCAAGAGTTCTTCCTCACTCTCCCAATGCTCCCTGCTTCTGCCCTCAGAAGAAGTCGCATGGATTTCAGAGCCAAAATCTCTTACAGAAAAGGGTAAGAGGATGGCTAACCAAGACACTTTTGCTGCCCACCCTGGTATGAGGACTGAGGGCACCAACCAGTGGGACGACCATTCTTCCCCGGCTTGCCACTATATGCTTTGCCACAGACTTCTGGGTTTCGGAGAACTAGGAGAGAGCAATGGAAAGAACGGAAGCTGGGCTACCTGGATTCCTTCCCAAAAGCAAATTCCTTGGGTCCTAAGGGAAATCAGGATGCCCTCGGTCAGCCATCACCCCGACCGACGCAGCTCAGCGCTGGCGATCCGGACAGCGCTGCGCCCAGCCCTGCGGCGCCGAAGAAAGCCGCGATAACTCGCTCCAGCTCCGAGGATCGATCCCGCACTCACATACCCCCACTTGTCAGCCACCCCCATGGAGACTTGAATGTGACTTCGGCAAACTTAGAGAGGCAACTTCTCTGGGGAGCCAGACCCTAGAGGGAAAGGGAGCCGGACTCGGGGAAGAGGAAAAGAGAAAGAGACCCAGGCAAAAAGCTTGAGTCGCAGCAGTCTGGGCGCCTAGGCGAGAGCGGCGAGGAGGTAGACCCGCCCCGCCGCGAAAGGGAAGCACAAAAGCCCCATCGAGAGTTGTGGGAGAAAAGGCTAGAAGAAATCTGCCGGCCCTCCCTCTCTGACCCAGCGCTGTGATCCCCGGCCGACTGGCAGGATCTCCGGCCTCACTCCGGTGCCGGTGCCGCCAAGCAGCCCGAGTGCCTGGCCTAGGCACAGGGCGCAAGTTCCGGGGAACCCGCCAGTGAGTCGGTACAGAGCGCGTCTGTGCGTTCCGGCGGGTCTGCGGGCCAACGAGACCGTGCGCCTTTCCAGCGCCCACGGGAATGTTCCAGGGGCTGTGCGAAAGAGTTCTCGGCGCACCCGGGTGGGAGAGGCATCCCGAACGCATCAGGTGCAGAGCCGGGCACCCACCGAGTGCGACCGGTAGCGCACAGCGAGCTCCGGCTTCACGGCCAGTCCCGCCGAGAGCCGAAGAGGGCCCGGAACCCTGAAGACCCTCCGGAGCTCCGCCACAGCCTCCCCTCTCTTTTAAAAAGAAGGGGTCAAGTCCAATCAAGAAGGAAAAAGGGGGGGGGCCTCACAGCGTTTTTCAAAGAAAAACAAACCCAAGCAAGTCCCAGTCTTGCTCCCCTTGGTCCCCAGATCCACTCTTCTGATCTGATTCTAGCTTCCCAGCCCGCCAGCGAATAAACACACAAACCACCACCCTATCTCGTGCCCGTGCACCGGTCCGCATACATATGAGCACCCACCGGCTCCCAGCTCCTCGGCAGACCGCCAGTGGTACAAAGCCTCCGGGTCCCCAACCTGCCGCTCCAGCCTTCAGTCCCTGCAGACTACGTTGCCCCCAACTCTCACCCCGACCAGTGCCCTGGACTGAAAGGGTTGGAGTGGCAGCTGAGCCCAAGCTGACAGCCGGGGCTTCTCGTTCTAGCCGAACACCAACCACCGATAGTGGCAACGGCTGCAGCAGCAGAAAGGGAACAAGCCGAATAAAATAAGGCACAAGCCCAGCGGCCGAGTGGCCGAAGAGAACGCGCCCCCCAGACCTCTCCCACCCAGGGGCGCCTCGGCGCGCGGCTTTGGTTGGGCGGTGCGCACCTCCCCGGCCCCCCACTCACCGCTGCCTAGCCAGGCGCTGTGGGGTGGGTGTGCGTGCCTCTGGGGGGAGAGGGGGTGTGCCAGTGTCGGGGAGGGGTGTTGCTGGAGAACTGTTGCTCTCGGTATCACGGCTGCAGCGGCGGCATCGCCCGGCAGTTCGCAGTACCCGCTCTCATTGCCCTCAACTCCTCTCTGCTGCGAGGTTAGCAAATCACCACCAGCTTCGGCTCCTCCACCGCGTCCCACGTCAACACCGAGCCCCCTCCCCTGCGAGGCCCCGGCGCCTCTCCATCTTTAGTGCTGGCGGCTGAGCCGGGCTCCCTGCCCACACCTACCCCCCCTTCCCTCCCCCCTCCCACCCTGTCCTCGGGCTCAGCCCGCCCACAACCCCCCCCACCCCCCTCACCGCTCCCCCTACTCCCCCCGCAGGGGGCACTGACCAAGCCGAGGCGAGCTCCCCGCCCCACCCCTTCCCTTCCCTCCCCTTCCCTCCCATCCCCTCCCTTCCCGGTGCGCAGCGCTCCAGGCTTCGCCTGACATCTAGCTGCTGCCGGGGCGCCTGCGGCAGGCAGCCGCTGACTGGCTAAGCGGGGAGGAAAGAAGGAGCTCATGGAGAAGAGTTCCAGGGACTCGGAATCCTTAGTGGCGGCAGTGGAGTTGGGAGCAGCCCCCACCTTCAGCTCCCAGGTTTTTAATTTACACTGGACGGAGATTTGTTGCCCTTAGCTTCTCCGGGAGCGGTGTTTTGTCTCCGGCTCCAGAGACAAAACACCGCTCCAATTCAGTGCGTGTCATCTCGCCTTTCATTTTTGCTCTGGGCTCAGGGCTGCATCCTCTGTGCCTCAAAGGTCGGTTTTAGATAGTCACTTTTCCAGCCCTAGCTCAGGCCTTCCGTGCCTCCCGGGTGCGATGTGCCCCTGGGCAGTGAGTAAACGAATTGCGAAGAGTCCCCAGGCGCAAGATTCACGGGCCCTGGTAAACCAAGTAGAGAGGGTCCACGGGGATCTATCACTGGCATGGACGCCCGATTTTAGCTGTCTCTATCCCTGGGGGCTGAGGTCGAAGCCTAAGGAAAACTTTTCTCTCTCTCAGTCTTACACGCGTCCTCGTTTTTAACCCCAATGGAACCTGGCTGGAAGCAGTTTCCCGAGAACTCTGCCCTGTTCAGCGCAGTCTACAGGGGGCGGTGAAAACTTGCAGAAACCCCAGACCCCTCCAAAGTGTCTCCCCGTCTCCGCTGGCTGCTCCACTTCAGAGTGGAGATCACTAACATCGGAGTAGAGCACCAGAAGAAATCTGCCCTTTCTCCGCGGTGGGGTACCTCCCTTGGAGAGTCCTCTTGCTCCCTTTTCTCTGGAACTTGGCGACAGTAGGGGTCAGGAGGTGGGAAGCGCCCTTCTGGGTGCAGGCCGTGGTGGCCAACTAACCTTCAAAAGCGTAGTGGTGGGGTATCTACACAGGCCCCTGAGGTCACACAGTCTTAGGAACACCAGGATTCAAACGCGGAGTCCTGAGTCTTCACATTCTGTCCCTGACACGCGGGTGGGTCAAAGGTTTTCCTCGAGACTCACATATAATCACATCAGGATGTGTGCCTCTGGCACCGTCCCAGACGGAGAGTCATGCCCCAGAAACTGTAGGGTCATGGAAGGTGGCAGAAGCCAACTAAAGGGGGAAAGAAATCCACTTCCAGCTGCGAAAAACCGGAGGGCAAAGTTTACAAATCAGAGCTGATCTGGACTCCCAAGAGCTGCTAATCAGGTAGTCCCAGGGACAAGCAACTCCGTCCCAGCAAGCATGGCTCCTGTCTCCTGCTCCCAGGGAAAGTGTGGGACTTTCGGGAGTCCAGGAAAAGGAGAGGAGGGCAGAGGGCAGAGAAGCGCACATGGAACTGCAACAACTACCTGATGCACAGAAAAGCCCAGGCCGTGGGTATTCCTTTTGATCAACAATAACAACGATTTTCTAGGTAAGGTGTATGTAGTCTATAAGAACAAGGGGATTTAAAGAAAGTTAAGAAAACTGGTCTGCAAGGAGAGGAGAAAAGACCTTCCTAATGTTTCACCAGGGAAATAGAAAATCATTAAAATGACTGCGTTTCAGCCTAGATGGTGCCTGCTGGAGGTTGCTGCCTCACTGTCCAGATCCACTACCAGCCCCTCCCAAGTGCAGTAGCAGGAGAAGCACACAGTTAGCCCTTGGTCCTAATCTCCTATTAATCCTCAAATCAGAGAAAGAGAGAATCTCTGGAGGCAGTGGGAGAGAAAGAACAATTCTCCCACAGTACTGGACTCCCCGCACCTCCATACCATATTCACTCTATGTGAAAATCTCCCGTGCTTCATAAACTCTGCCCATTAAAAAGTCCAGCCTTGTTAGTAAGTGTTAAAGAGAGATTAATGTCTGAATTTAAGAGGTGGAGAAGGTAACAAAAAGGAGGAAGGCAGGCGAGGCTGTGGGCCGAGTGCCAGCCCTGGGCTCCCAGCATTGCCACTTAGCTCTAAAGGCTGGCTGCACAGCAGTTTGATAAGGTTTATTGGGCCCAGATAAAGCGGCAGCAGCTCTACCACCCAAACTGGCACCGTGTATAGCCAGAACTATGTCCTTGGGGCCCTGAAAGTCTGATGAGAACCCCCCAGTTCAGAGATTTCATATGGCACCACCTAAAAACAAGCAGAATGGAAAATTACACGAGAAAACACTCTCTCCCTGCCCCGCTTTAATGTTCATATATTTGTAGTGATTTCTTTTTCCTTTTTTTTTCCTTGAAGGTTATGATAAGGAAAGCTGGGACATCAGTTCTTGACAGGTCCTAAAAATAGAAGAGCCCTTACTCTGGGGAGAGGTCATGTTGGAGACAGGGGAATAGATGGGTTGACCTTTGGATGGAATTCCATTGCTAAATCATCCTATTCCTTCACCTCCTCTCTTATTCATATACCTCCCACTGGTAGCAGCTAGTCAGAGCTCAGTCTGTGGAAGAGGAGGGTGTATCAGGTCTAAGAGAGCTTACTGGAAGGAGACGGTGGGAATAATAACTCATTCTGAGCACGGACTCTGAATCGTAACATGTTTCCTATGTTGTTTTATTTCATCCTTATAACAACCCTATTAATGCAAGTGCTATTATTTCCCCCATTTCTGCAGATGAGAAAACAGGCTCAGAGTGGTAAAGTGTGTTACTCAAGACAATAGAACTATGAAACATCAGAGCTGAGACTTAAAATCAGAGGATTCTGACTGCAAAGCTCCTGATGATCTTAAACCTCAGATTCTACAGCCTCTAGCAGGATAGAAAGGGAAACAAGGACTTTTCATTTCTCCTCCCTCATACTCCAGTGGGGCCAAGTCCTCTGCAGCAGCCGGCCAAACCCAGGACCACACAGTTCACTGAATCAGGCTGCCCGGTAAACGGATTTAGATCCACGCCCCAAGGATCTCTGCACTTTTTCTCCTTCCTCAAAATCGCGGGCAGAAGTTGAGGAGTGTATTTTGAATTACAATAAAACTTGAACTTAACAGATGCCCAGGAGGAAGGTTGTAGCAGCGGTGTTTTAAGTATTCTGATTGAGTGTTAATGGAATGTTGCAATTTATTTTATTCCAACTTCTCATTTAGAAAATAGTTTTAAATTTTAAAGGTAAACTTTCCTATCATGATAAATAAATCAAGGGCTCCTACCTTTGAGGAGAAGAAGCTACTTTGCATCTCCCCCCAAACCTTGTGATGAGTGGGGAATGACGCATTTTCAGAGAAAGAGGCAGGCGGTAAATCCCCTGAATGGAAACAAGCAGTCCCCACAATGCCGAGAACCCCAAGGAGCCGCTGGAAGACGCACCAGGCTGTCACCTGCACTCTCAGACCCTCGCCTCTCTGGGGACCCTTGGGGGAAAACACGGCAGACCTGTTGTGTCCTTTTCTTACGGCAAAGGATCTTACAATGCTTCAGGGTCATCATTGTAAATATGTATCAGCTAGATTCCCGTGATGTCAAAAATTAAGCTAAGTCACCCTGGCCAGGGGGCTCACTTGGCTGAGCATCATCTTGTATAGCAAAAGGTTATGGGTTCAGTCTTCAGTCAGGGCACATACCTTGGTTGAGGGTTTGATCCCTGGTCAACCCATCAGTGTTTCTCTCTCTCTCTTCTTCTTCTTCTTCTTCTTCTTCTTCTTCTTCTCCTCTCTATCCCCCTTCAATCTTTCTCTAAAATTAATTTAAAAAATATCCTCGGGTGAGGTTAACGTGAGGACTTAAAAAAAAATAAGCAGAGTCAAATTTTCCCTCAGTGCGTACAGGGTGGGGCAGGTAGGTTTACATTTGTTCATATGGAAAATAATACAATAATTAATAAATAATACAAGAATAGCCCTGGCTGGTATGGCTCAGTGGACTGAGTGACGGTCTGTGAACCAAAAGGTCACCGGTTCAATTCCTAGTCAGGGTACATGCCTGAGTTGCAGACTGAGTCTCCAGTTGGGGGTGTGCAAGAGGCAACCCCACACTGATGTTTCTCTCTCTTTCTTTCTCCCTTTCCCTCTCTCTAAAAATAAATAAATAAAATCTTTAAAAAAGAATAAACTGTTTCACATACTCACAACTGTAAACCTACTTTTGCCCCACCCTGTATGTTAATAGTTTTCTGTTTTGTCTTTTTTTTTTAATGTTTAATTCTTTCATGTCACTTCCTTAGATGCCCCCTCCAGAAAACAGAGTGGGGAGACAATCAAGTGTTGTGTGGGTGGATTCTGGTTAGTCAAAGCCCAGAAAACCAAAAAAGAAGATTATCTCTTTGATTAGTAATTTCCATCTTCTCCCACTCCTCACCCCCCCCCCCCAGTCCTGGTTAGTGCTGTTCCTCTTCAGGGCAGAGAATGACGTTTCAAAGGGAGACAGAGAGGGTTATTTCTTTTAGCCCTTGAGGCCTTGAGTTGCTGTGACCCCAAGATCCTTGTGATTGAGGAACAGAAAGCTTTTCCTACTCTTTCTCCCCAGCATATTGCAAATGGTGTTGGGACCTAATGTTGTCAACTCAAATAGCAAATCTGAGTTGTTATTAATGCAAAGATGCCCTGAAGGGGTAGGCAGTGTGGATGAAATCTGCAACGGATGTTATGGGAAAGAGTGTTTATAATTATAATGGGATTTAATGTATACTGGGACCAGATGATGGCAGCCATTTAAAACAGAGATGCTTAATAAGAGAGGCCCCTAATGACAGGCAGTGGGGCTCAGGTTATTATGGAAGAAGCACAGCTGTGCGCCAGGCTCTACACAGTTTTCAACAAAGCTTTGGGGTGAGGCACAGCGACCACTGCTGTCAGCTGTTGGGCATAATTTCTTAATGCTGTCTTTGAAAGGGCATCTGCACGTAAGAGAAAGCCATGATCTCCCTTTGGATACACATACGCACAAACATACCAGCCCCCGGCTAACACTGAGTAGTTCTTGGTGATTCTGGAAATCTGCTTTGTTCTGAGTAAGTCAGCCTCAATTTCAAAACTACAATTCTGTAGCTGTGGAGAGATGCAGTGTCCATACAGTGTGCCTGAATTGAAGCAGCGTGACTCCCAGAGTCCCACAGCTGAACCCCCCAGGCACTGTGCTGAAAACTAACCTCCAAGTCCTGACCAGAAACCCGGGCTTTTCTGACACTGCGGAGTTTCAGGAGAAACCGGGAAGAGGGAAGAATGTAACATTTCCTCTGGCTATTTAACTCCTGAGGTGTTTCAAGTTACAGATTTCAGTCCCTATGGATGTCAGTCCCAGCAGCTGTTTTGCAACTGGAGTCACACTCAGTAGAAGTGCCACCAGAAGCACCGTGGTCCAGAAATACAACTCGCGTCTAAGTTGCACTATTCTCTGTATTTCTCCCCTGATGTGAGAGAAGTATATGAAGACTACTGTGTTCGTCCCACACAGGACTCATCCGTGGCTCCTGTGCTCTCTGTTCACAGAGCTTATGATCAGTCTCCGAGTCTTTAAAGCAGAATATTCCATTTATCCTGACAAGGAAAAAAAGATGAGGTAAGTGAAAACTGAACTTCCAATTGTATACTCTCGGAAGCTGTATTTCTGGAGAAGTTACTTTCAAATAGAAAGGGTACACAAGATGAACAACGGATTTTACTCAGTGATGGGTAATTTAAGCCAGTTATATTAAAATTATTACAGCAAAAGAAATGGCGAAGTGGAATTCAAAATCTGAATGATTTTCCAAGATAAAGTAAAACACTGCCTGGGCGCGAACCCCGGAGGTGAACTCACTGCCTCCATCCTGTGCGGGCAGAGTGGGTACCAGTCGGGGTGAAGGCCGCCGTGGGCTCCGAGCCAGGCTTGTGCCTTCCCAGTCAGGGCAAGTTCACTGTCTCTTTAGGAAGTCATTGCTGGATCTTTGAGGCAATCTTCACCCCACCCTCCAGTCAGGATTAATACCTCCCTCCTCCAGAGGTCCTTTATCACGTTTGAATATCTGTTACAGCGTTTACCACCGTCTGTCTTGTATCTGACTGTGTCTTGTGCATTCTGACCCCCGCTCCACTGCGGGTGTCTGGGAGACAATGTCTCAATCGTTTTGAATATAGTATTCCCATCCCCAACCCTCAGAATAGAATCTACCTCTGCTTCTCAAATACTAGTGAGTGAACTAATCGAATGAATGCCTACATGAATGAATGAGTAAACAAACGAACATATACACCCAGTGTTTCAGAAACTCTGGAGAGGAGGTACCACTCTGTATCCCAACATTTAGAGCAGAATTTTGGGGGTACTGATGGGTTTGTCACTGATCCTTGGAAAATCAATAAGATATAAATAAGGGTTGGGGACACCTATTGAATTTAATTGTATATGGCTACTTGAGGTTATAACTAGGCTTCTGTTTCCATTTCTCTCTCCTTCAGGGGCCTAAAACCAAGCTTTTCTCAATTTTCTAGGAACATTAATAAATATTTACTAAATTTCATTGAATTAAAATGAACTGACTTGGAGCTCACTGCTCATTATTCCCATAATAGCCTCCTACTCCCAACCCCAACTAGCTATTAGCGACCCCGGCCGGGGCTGAGAAGAGAGCATCCACTCTCCTGCTAAGACACCAGTGGGTCCCCACCCACTGCTGACTAACCCCAGCACCGGCCTGGGAGATGTGCGTGAGGCACCTGTACTGAGGGATCAGCTCTGCTGTTGCCAGGCGTGGCAGAGGTTGGCTAGGCGTTCTGCAGACGCCTTCTTGAGCGCACAGGGGATGACAGTTTTCAGTTCACCTTGCCGATAGGTACAGGCCGTGGGACTGAGTCCGGCCAATGCATGGATCACGAGCAGAAGTCCCTAATGCCACTCCCAGGACTGGCCCCCCAAAGCCCCTGTGTGGAATCCTGCAAGACCTTTTCCTTCTGTGACTAAACCCCACGAGCATATAAGCTAGTTACCTTGGAAACCAAGTGAACAAGATGGTAGAGCCAAGATGGAAAAAGCCCAGATCCCTGAATCACAACTTGGAGGGGACCTACCTGCCTGCCTGCCTCCTAAGAACACTCATCGTAGACTTTATATAAACAAGGAATAAACCTTTGATTTGCCATAGAGTTGCCAAGTAAAACGCAGGACATCCAGTTAAATTTGAATTTCAGATAAGCAAAGAATACTTTTTTTAGTATAAGTATGTCCCAAATATTACAAAGAGAAGTCATACTAAAAAAAATACTATCTGAAATTAAAATTTAAATTGGCATTTAAAGAAATCTGGCTACCCTAGCCTTTAGCTATTATATATTTGGGGGTTTGTTTATTATAGAAGTTAGCATTACCGTAATTATTAATACACATTGTCCGTTCCATTTGACAGAAGCAGCAGAACCACAGTGTCTGAGCTGGGATTCTGGTCTAGGACAAAGGGCTTCCTTCAAGTCCTCTTGGTGATACACAGGGCAGGTCCAGCTGGAGAAAGAAGCATCCTGTGTGGACATGGCCGGGGGAAAACTGGGGCATCTCTGGACAGTTTCTGTGAACCTCTTTTCCCCAGGTGCCTTTTCCACTAGACTATGAGGTCTGTGGGGGGAAGGGTGACTGTGGGACTTACTCCTGTGTCTGCTGGAGTTGGCACATGGTGGGTGTTGAGTTCTTGTTTGCGCTGGGAAAGGAGGTAGGAAAGCATCATCACGTGGACCTGTCTCTAAGACCTGAGGGAATAAAATTAGAACTGTTGAGAACACTGTCGAGTCAATGATTTTCTTATTCTCCCCTTCTTCTTTGTGCCTGAATAGCCAATGTAGCACAAAGGCTGAGAGTGAGGACTCTGGTTTACTCGCAAGGGTCTGTGTTCAAACAGCACCACCTTTTACGTCCTGGGTCAGTTATTTGAATTCCCTGAGCTGCGATGTCTTCATCTGTGTTCTAGGGGCAACAATGGTCCTCACCTCACTAGACCTTCTAGAAAGATGCACAAGGATGCTCGGCCCACAATAAAAGATCTGAAAGTGTTAACTATTCCTTACAATGATGTCATGTAATCTTTCTTTCTCTCCACTCTCCTCCTACAAAATACCTTATGAATATTGGGCATAAGGTCTTGTGATAACTTTGAAATCTTTTTAAAAGGGCGTAAGATGACCTGTGATTATTGACGTAACTGTAGCTGTGAGCATCTGTTTGTGGCCTTATTGTCCTCCTCTTGTTCCCTTCACTGGGGCAGGATGAGGCCAATGGGCAAACGCAGAGCGAGGCAGGGAGTGCGGGACTGGCGGTAATTTTCACCTCGTAGCGTGACGTGTTCATTAGTGTGGACGTACGTTAAGCACAGCAGCCTGGTTTCCTTGTGTTAAATAGCAGTCATGCCCAACTGGCTCTCCATGTGCCATTACTCTGAGTGATTGAGTCAATTTCTTCCTCTGCCATGACTTTAAGTTGTAAACCTCTCAGCCAGACAGGGAGGCAATGACGGGCTGCTGGTTGTGATTATTATTAACCTTTTGGGTTATGCTTTCAAGACCAAGGGTCTATGAAAAAGCCTGGAATAAGGCAGGCATGGACTGTGGACGTCCTACCACCCACCCTTATCCAGGTTACACATAGATGTTCACTTTGGCCTTGCAGAGAGGCTCAAGCCCACCAGCCTGTGGTGAGTGACCCCCTGTGCTGGGGGAATGGTGGAATGTTGGCTGTCCTCTGCTCCATTTGGCTGGAGATACGAAGGAGAGTTATAGGAAAGCTGTGAAAGTTGTAAGAAGCTGGGTACATCGGTACTCAGAAATCATTTGCCAGCCACAATTTTTACTACTTTCAATATATTTATTAGCCAGACCCTAATTATCCAGCAGAAGCTTTCAGGGACAGTGGCCACCTCCGAGTTAATTTGCCTGGACCACGTATATTTAGCATAATGGTACAGGGGAACCCAGAGCCACAGAGGGCTGCAGGGCTGTTAGAAAGTGTTAAGCCCTTGGAATCAGACTAATGTGGGTCTCAAATCCAAATCTGTCACTTAACAGCAATGTAAAATTTGGCACATTTCTTAACGTAAGCCTTGACTTCCTCACCTATATAATGAGGACACCCAAGGTCTCTGTAATCACAGAGAAGTTAAGAAACTTGGCCACGGTGCCGCCGTTCCTAAGGGACGAAGTCGGGATATAAATGTAAATCTATGAGATTCTCTTTCCCGGGTAGCCCTCTACCTGCACCCCATGTTTACAGGAGCAGCAGGCAATTCCCGATGAGGAAGGTGGCCATTTGCTTGGAGAGGACGTCCGTACCTCCCCATCTTTGCTTTTTAAAGCTGCCTCTAGTACCCTGTGTGAAAGAAGCAAATAAGCCAAGATCACATATGATTCTAGTGACATATATATTAGATGATTTCAGTTCAAAAAAAGTCTTCTCCCACTCCTTCACCCATGTCTAAAATTAAAATGCCAAAAATATTACCAGGAGAAGAAATTTGGCAGAAAGTAGGAAGCATGATAAACCTGCAGAGGCTGCTGCAGGACCGGGTTTATGAAAGCCCCGCCCCCCCGGGGAGCTCCCATCATTTGCAAGGTATTATCTTCCAAGGGAAAGCACCAGAATAAAGTAAACTGTACAGATATTTGACTAATATCCTATCTTCCCAGGAAGAGAATTCTCCTTCTATTGAGTTTACTGCCTATTGAATATCTTCAGTTACGAGGGGGGGGGGGGAGTAATCATGGAAGACGGTAATTTTTTTCTCCCCCAACATCTCTGTGGAATGTTCTGGGATGTTAACCTATTAATCCTCTGTTTACCTATTGGCCTCCTGGTGAAATTATAAAGGCACTAGATTTTTAGTCAGAAGGTGTGGATTCAAAGCCGGCTCTGCCGAAACTTCCTGAGTGACCCTGGGCAAGTCACTTAATCTCTGCGCTCCTGTGTTCTTCTCTGAATAAACGGAAGCACTATGTGGGAAAGTTTCTGACCATTTTAAAATGTTTTCCAGGTTCTTGGAGAAGAGTCCTGAGTCCTGTCTCCAATGTGCTGTCTGGCCTTGAGCAAGTTGCTTTGCCTCCTTGGGGTCTCGGGTACTTTGTGGGAAACGTGAAAATGCTGGACCAAATTTATGGCCAAACCCAGTGTAGCTTATGAACTTGTACAATGCTCTGTGAACTCTGTCGGATACACCAAAATCGGGTGAAATTCGGTGTTAGCACCCTCGGGTTGAGAGCGGGTGCGATGTGGGTGTGTTTCAAGTAAGTGGTCTCTCTTTACTATAGCTTTGATTTCTGTCATGAGGGAACCCAAGTGCTGGGGAACCTCCCACCTCTACCCAGGAGCAGGGAAGATGGAGGAGGGGAGTGATGCAGGCTCCAGGTTGGGCAGGAAATGGTGAGGTGCCTCTGTTGGTGATGGCTCACTGTGGTTCTAGAAAGGAAATGAAATAGTGATGAAGCCATGGCCAGGTCATAGAGGAAGGAGTGGGGGATGGGGCATGGCAACTGTAGTTAGGGGAATGTTCAGCTGTGACCCAAATAAGGTACCCTCAGTACAGACAGGGGAATGGAGAATTAGATACAGATACAGATATAGATATGCTACTTTGAATCAGGTCTAGAAACACATTTGTTCCTCTCTTGCTCAGAAATCATGTCCAAACATTGTACACCTGACTCAAAGCATATTAACATAACTAAACTTTACTAATTCTCACCTCAGGGCCTTTGCATTTGATACCACCCTCCCCACCATCTCTCCTTCCATCACACAAGGCACTTGCTTTCATATGAAGATCTTAACTCAAGGGGCATTTCCCTAGAGAAATCCTGCAACTGCTTATAGAGAGTTGCCTCCTGCCCCCTCAGACCCTTTGGGGGGAAATTGTTTCCTTTGTTTAAGTAACTATTTGTTTATTTCACGGCTTCCTCCCTGGAGCCTCCCTAGAGCTCCCTCGGAGTTAATGTAAGCTTCGTGAGGGCAGAGGGCTCTTTCTTTCCCCTGTATCCAAAGCCCCAGGAAGGACAACGCTTGCATATGGTAGGCTCTTAATAAATATTTGTTCAGAGAATGAAAGAACAAAACAAGAAAAGTGCTGCCTTTTCTTTTTTCTTTTTCTCTCTTTCGCTCTCTCCAGGAAGACGTTTAAACAGACAGCATGTTCTTGAGAAGGAGGGACTCGGGCCCAAGCAGTGACCAGGCTGGGAAACGAGAGGAGTATGTACGTCCTTTCGCCAGCTCCCAGGTAGTGTGCTGATTTCGCAACAGCTATTTTTACTGCTATTGCTTCCAAAAGAAACACCCTGAAGCAACACAACATCCTGCTGTCTGAGGGTGTGCCGGCCCAGGCGAACCAGATGAGGGACAAGGCCTGGAGTTTGTACAGCACTGTACCCAGGACTCTCACATCATTTTCACCGTTTTATAGATGAGAGCACCCAAGCTCATCAAGAGTTAGGGCTCAGACCCAGGTCTGCCCACAGCTAGTGTTCTCGCCTTTGCATTCCACAGATGAACACAGGCTTGCTGGCTCCCTTTGGGGCTGCCCCGCTGGGGGCAGGTTAGCAGGCCAGGACTAGGTGAGGCAGGTGAGGCACCTAGGGTGCAAAGGTTAAAGAGCCATCACCCTTTTGGCATTTGCCTGACTCTACGAATAGCACCTTGTCAAATTTTGCACTCCAGGCACCATGCTGTCATCATCTAGCCTAGTCCTGGTCCTGCTCACTGGAACTTTGTGCAAATTTTCTCTTGTGTCATATGATACTTCTTTGTCTAGAGATATCAGCAAAATGACTAGAGGGCAGATTGATTTAGGAGAGGACCTGGCTCACTTTGCCACTTGCTTCTGGTCACCCCTTGGCAACCTCTCCTCCAAAGGCCTCTGGAATTATTTTTCTAAAGGACAGATCTGTGTCACTGATCTGTGACACAATATAACACATAAAACAATATAAAACACCTTGAATGGCTTTTCACATGGCCTGCACACACACACACACACACACACACACACACACACACCCCTGAACTACTTGTCATGGACTGTAGGCCTTTACGAGTCGGCACCATTCTGCATCCTGATTGACGCTGTGCTGCCACAGCTTTGGGCAGGCGGTGTGTTCTGCCCTTTGCTGTCTGTCTGGGTCAAAGCCATGCAACCCGTCAAAGTCTAGTTCCAAAGTCACCAGTGCTCAAGATGGCTCAAGAATTGGAGCAAAGCCAATGTGAATGCAGTTCACCACGGTGGCCAGGCGGGCAGTCTGATCTAGGAGTGCCGTGCTTGTCTGCGGGCTGAGACCTAACGAGCCAGCCCAGGCCTCGCAGGGCTCCTTGCCCACACCCTCTGAGCTAAAGGGGTGGGGGAGTCACCTTCAGAACTCAGCCTGGGCAGTGCTAACTTTATAGCCAGGCTAAGTATGGCTCCAGCCTTTGAACTGACTTGTTTATATTTTCCTGTGACAATTCGGGTCCGTGTTGTTGGTAATGAAATGAAACCAGCTTTCCAAGTCCTGGGACCTCCCCATCCACCCAGTCTGTTTGCAGGCTTCGCCCTTCAGCATTCAGGTTTCCCAGAGTCGCCAGGGTCGGGGATGTGTAACTGGTTTGTAACTTCAGTAAGTAGTCTCTGCCAGGCTGGCCTTCTTCCTGGTTCTCCTGCTACTCACTTGCAGTCTAAGTTCCCATCTATTTGTTTTCCTTCCTCTTCTGTGTCTTAACCTATCTGTCTCCTTTGCATGATCTTGAGAATCAAGCCAAAGTCTGGCTGACATTTTGGCCCGGTCTCCTCAAAGAGCTCAGATTTGAGATCTTTATTTCTGGAAAGAAAGTTTGTTGGTTTAGGAGAGGCATTAGTGAAGAAAGAATATACACATATGCTGTGATAAACTATAGTAAT